ATGAGGAACAGCGACGGAACAATACGTTCGGCAAATCATGCGATTTTATATGTTGCCTTTCAAGGCAAAGTTGGCTGCAAACGGCCATTTTCCAGTACGATAATACTCGGCTACACACAGGTAGGATTTCTCAGGGATGTCTTCATGTTATCATACTTCGTTGGTTTGCCCGATCCAGATTTGTCAGCTATCGAGTATTTATAGAATTAAACGGGATACCAGCTTCGGCCATTCATGAGTGTGAAGGATGTGGAGCGGTAGTTGTGACATTTGTGAGCAAAATCTGTTGCAGGATAGCATACTATGTCTGTAAGTCTGACTGTATCGCCATATGTATGCAGGCGAGAGGTCCAACGAGGTTTTAAAGGTTGCTTTAAGTTGTATCGTGGATGCATAGGAAATTGCACCATTGCCATAAAATTGTAATCTCTTATTACCATAATCATTACGTTTGCACTAATTCCAATGCCTACTCCTTAGTCCGTAACTATTTTTGTCAATGAGTATATACTCTTGTGTTTAATATTTGAATATTATTTTATGATTTACGTTATCTGTTATTCAAAAAGTAAATAAAATATGACATTTTTTCTTCTTGCATTCTATAGAATGCTGTGAGAGACTGTTTAAGTAGACTTTATCTGAAGTATTGTGGATTCTAAATTAATTTAATGAAATTTGAATAAAACTAAACATTTTAATTTTTAATTCAAAATGTAAGCAATTCTACTGATTTGAATGAATGTTTATTCCTAAACAATCTTCATTGGAGGAATAAGACTTCCACCCCGCGGGCTCCAATATGGGTTCGGCCGGAAAGTGAAAGAACAAACATTTATCTTAAAGTTATGGGTTTAAAATATAAAATCTTTAATAAAATTACAGAAAAGAGTTACATGAAATTCTTATATTACATTTAAAAAATAGCAAATAATTAAGAATAAAAAATTACAACTCACACATTCGTAGTTAGTCGCGGGTTAGTACCTTACTAGTAGACTGGCCACGTGGTGTATTTTTCGGGTTTTCTTCATGTGTATAATACCTAAATAGGGACCAATTTCCCACAGAAAGTCCTATCGAGAGACATCTCCCTTTGCATATCTCTCTAAAGTTTCGTTGCCAATTTTTATCAAATCCATCTAATAACCAATTAACTGGCATAATCATAAAGTAAATATTCAGCTGTAGAGATCGTGCCAATATGTAAATATGTCTGTCGTTTTTGTAAACTTAAATAAATTTTACATTGGTAATCAAATATATGTAAAAATTAAACAGTAAAACCTCTTAACAGCCACTGACAGAAACATAAGAAAATGATCGTTGTTGGGAGGTTATTTTTTATGCATTTTAAAGAAAAACGTTCCCGAAAACATAGCCGATGTTTAGAAGTGGTCGTCGTTGGGAGGTGACCGTTATTGGAAGTTCGGCTGTACTTTATAAAAGAGGTATACGTATAAAATGTTATTACCAATTCTAAAAGATACGTTCCAAAGTAAAAAAAAATTGAATTTCTCTTTTCTTAGTCTTTCAGTTTTTATATAAATATAATATAAACTTGAAATGTTAGTAAGGTGCAAAACTTTCGAAACTCCTTTTAAATCTTCTAAGAAATGTTGGTCTGAAAGAAATATTTATTATCAGTTATTAATACTGTACGATCGAATACTTTATGAAACTGCTTCAATATCAAATCTCCAAATAACGGCCACTGAAGAGAACATAAAAAATGGTCCTTGTTTAAACGGTTTTTTTTGCATTTCCAAAAGAAACGTCCTGAAAAAAAGCAGCCGTTTAGAGGTGTCCGTTATTGGCGGTTCGACTGTACTCGGTTTGTAATTCGAAACCATTTAATTTGGTAAAAGACGAAATTCGTTTATAAAAATTAAAGGATTTTTAAATCAATATTTTATGTTGTTTTATGAGATTTTTCTTGATAAATTTGAAGAAAGTTAAGCTTTATAATACAATATAAATTAGTCATTTCTCATTTTTTTCTATATAAAATTCGTTTAAAAGTTCAGAAATTGCCTCGAGGTCGCATTAATTTTTTATCCTAATAGTTTAAAATTTTCTAAATGTTATTAAATTGAATACATTAAAATTTTATCCATAATATGATATAAACACGAAAGATAGATAAGTTTTTTTTTTATTGATGAAATAAAAAATTTTCTTTTTATTTAAACTTTATTTGTATATTTTTGGTAAATATTTACCACTTATTCGTTTACTTGTTTCAGAAGAAATTTTTATTTATTTACCTTAATTCTCCATATTTATCTTTAAACTAACAGACCCCGTCATGCGTTGTTGTAACTCAAAATGTATCTATTATAAATGTATAACACTTCCCCCGTGGGGGGGGAATTTTTCGAAAAATCCCTTCTTAGTGTATATTCTGTTGACTACCCTATTAAAACGCAATCAAAAACGCAAAAAACCGCATCTAAAATAGTATAAATAGAAGCAGAGTTTTTTACGGTAAGCCTTAATCCTGTCCATCTCCCCCAGTGGGGGGAATGTATATTATATAAAAACACTTGCGTATTCGAATGCAGCGTTGTGTCAAAATTTCAAAGGAATCGGTAGGAACAAACGAACATTACATTTTTATTTATATAGATAGATAGAAGATGATCTGCTTTAGTTCATCCTCACAGAAAAGCATAATGCCTAACAGAAAAGCAAACTTAGGGCGTCGTACTCGTAGCGCCATTTATTGGACATAAAAGCCTTAACCTAGATGATATCTTTTAATTTATATGAATGTTTAACGGAATAATATACAGCCTATGTCCACCCTGGAGTTCCATTCTAAATATTGGTGAAAGAATTTTTGAAATCAGATGAGTAGTTTCAGAGAGTATCCGCTACATCCAAACTTACAAACATTACCTCTTTATAATATTAGTATAGATTACGAAAATTTACATATATAATGTGGATATATAATCAAATTTATCTTCATCAAAAGAAGGGAAAGTAATGAAATTGTTTCAAATCTGAGTTTTTTGCAAATCTTTACGTTTTGAAACCTCCTGAATTCGAAAAAGTCAAAAAAATGACAAAAAAGTTCCGTGTATATGTATGTATGTATATGTATGTCTATTTCGCTTAATATCTCAAGATAGGGTTTTTTTTTTTAAATTCTTTCCGCCCTGTGGGCACTAAGAGGGCCTCTTTTTGCAAGCCCGTTATGGGTTTGGCCAGGCCCACAATGGGGCTGCCGGGTGGTGAGGGACGGGGACCGACATATCCGAACGGACCATCCCCCGAAAAATTCCTGGGGATTCCTTGGCCCGTTCGGATTCGAACCCAGGTCCCCCAGAACGGTAGGCTGCCACCTTGACCGTTTGGCCATCTGGCCTCTCAAGATGGGGTAAACATTAAGAGAAGGGTAGGAGTTAATGAAGATTTTATTCGTTACTAACATTTGTAGCTTTTCATAAAACCCATCCCTACCCTCAAAATTAAGCTTTTTGCCATTTTATAGTAATTAAAATATAGAAAATTTTTATTTAAAAATTTGATAACAGATGGCGCCACAAACAATTTTATTTATTTTGCTTAATATTATACAAGTTATTTTTAAAATAAAATCTCATAACTGCCGGGAAAGTTATGCAACTCGTTGCTGGATTTTTATTTTTATATCCAACGAATTATTAGAAGCGCACCAGTGGCATAGTAGATAAAACACTGGTTGGTCACAGGTTTGGACCTCGCCAACGGGCTGGTCTCGTGGAGTTTTTCGGATTTTCTTCACCTGTCAAACACTAGAATACGGCCCAATTTCCCATGAAAGTCCTCCCAGATGGCATCTCTTTTGGCAGTTCGCCCACGTGTCGAGTTGTATCCCACGAAACCAAACTAATTATTAGAGCCATGGTTATGAAATCGTACTTTATATAAATGATAAAATACTGTGTTTAATAAATATGTAAAAGATGAACCTGAAATGAATGGCGAACTTTTAAGTATTTTCCAGAAGCATCCACAACGCAACACATAGGCGATCTGCCGAGAGATTGCAATCCCAGAGAAATTTCTATGGAAAACTGGCACCTATTTAGGTGTTAGTACGCGAAGAAAACCTGGAAAACTGCATGTGGCTATCTCGTTATAAGATGAGAACCCGCGACCAGTGTTTAGTGTTTCTATTTATTTGACCATTGATAGGCGTTGAAATTGTTTTGTTTAATAATTAAATCATTATTTTACCTATTTTAAAAAATTTATAATAAAATTTTGTAATAAATTTTTGAAAATAAAAGACGCTACAATTTCTTAAATCGTATTTTATTAATTATTCACAAGATTAGACCAGACATTACCTCCGATAAAGCAGAGAACGTATTGTATTATTTATGATGGAAAGATGCGAAAGAATGTCTTCACAGCTATTATTTATGTCAAATTAATTACGAGATCAATATTATAATATGGATCATTTTCATGGTAAATAGCCTTCTTTGAACTTCTAAAGGTAGAAGAGTTCATCCAATGTTATTCAAATTGGAACTCTCATTAGTAGAAGTGCGATCTGTTTACACGTCAGCTCATTAAATGAATTAATTGGATAAAATAACACCTTAAATTTTCTACAAATTCGATTATTACGAGCTTAATATTAAATTGTTTCAATTTAAAATTGCTATAAAGAATTTATATTATTATAGAAATTTTTGTATGTAGTCCTGATGGCCAGAAGCTATGGNATTTCGAAGCATTTCCTAAAATATATTAAATGTTTCATTCAATATTTTAAATTATTATATTTATCAAGAAGAAACGAACTCCGACCATTTTATTAACAGATAAAATGGTATAAAAAAAAAACAATAAAATTCGCAGTAGTTTTTGTTTCGTGCTTATCTTGTATTTATTGTAGGAAATTATGATTATTTCTAAAGATTATTCACAACCTTTCATTCAATCGATATGAGAAATGCGTCTGTAATTTATCATTATTTGCAACAATATTTGAAAAATAAATTGTTACAAATTGTCAATACTTAATATTATCCACTATTATTAAAAATAATTATATTGAATTTCGATTAATATATTTTTCTAATGTCACGAGGTGCTCTGCGGATCCGGAATAGAATCTGCTGCCATCCCACGAATGTTTCATGGGCTATCTGTTCCCGACTGGTCGGGCCTTGTTTCACATCTCCCGTCCCCTTCTAGGCCTGAACGAACCTACGATGGGTATGATTAAAATGTCCTTCTTCGGATCTTTTTAATTACGTGACTATAGATAAAAATGATAATAAATATTTTCTGTTGATATGACATAAAAATTTATATAGAGATTAGAAAACAATTTTAAAGATTTGGAGTTAATATTGTCCAATTGTTCATCATCGTATTATTTTTTAAGATTTAAGCCAAATTAATTTTCCCATCTACTTTTTTTTTTGTACCAGAGCATCCAAATCTTAAATTTAACCAATACTTACGAGCGACCAGTGACCGAGCGAATAACACAACTCGGCCATCGGTGGGGCCGTAAGCATTAGGGGTGAGAACCAATGGCCAACCGGTCGTTGGTTCGTACCTCATCAACCGATTACCGAGTGGAGTTTTCCAGGTTGCATTTATGTCTAACACCTAAATAAGGCCAGTTTTCTATGGAAAGTCCTCTCGGGAGCCCTCTTGGAAAATCGCCCATATGTTGCGTTGCCTTACCCTGCCAAATCCAATAATTAATATAAAAACGTTCTTAATTTTTATTTCTTCAGCTAATTATTTATATTTTATGATCATGATTATATTCGCATTGTATATATAATAATCAAGCGACATTTACGAGTTTTAGTTTGATTCGCGACACACTAAAATTCAATTTGCAGTTACCATCAAGTTGCTATAGCAACAACTGATGCTGCAAAGTGTAACTCTGATAGAAAATGACAAAATAACTAACAATAACTTATACTGGTTTCAATATTATCTCGGTTAGTACTGGATTTTATATAAATAATGATGAAGTTCGGTTGTAAAATAAAATTTAAACATTTTTTAACTGGAAAATTGCATTAATATTTCATTTCGAAAATATTTGATAGCACCTCCTTCAATCAACTTCTGACAAAAGTGATAAAAAGCTTAAAGATGAAGACAAGAGAAGTTAAAAGTTATTAAGGATGTTTCAATAACGACTACATAACAACAAATAAATGTCCACAAAAACCTGACACCTCTTTGTTGTGAGTAGTTGTTGTTAATAACTTTTAGAATTCTTATTTTATTTCACTTATTAGTAAAATATAAAATTAATTAAATTAAAAAACAATAAAAAAAATACTGTATTTTATTATTTTAATACAATTATTTTTCTTTAGAATAAGTTTTTATACGCAATTAATTCAAGAAATATTAAAAATTGTTTTTTCTGTCTTGCATTCAAAAGATTTTTAAAATTATTTTTTAATGCTTATACCAAATATTAATTAATAAAGTGACTGATATATTCGTACAAATACTTAATAATTGTTAAAATATTTTACATATAGCAGAAACGTTTTGCACATAAACTAAACAAGCTGCAGCTTAGGGCCTAGCGTTACGAATCTATAACATAAGGTTTTATATTTTAATATGATCATTATTTAGTGGTAAGGAAGGACTTGTTACATGCTATAGCTTAGAACCATAACAAGTCTTTCAGTCCAGCATTTTTAGTTTCTTTATACAAGACATAAATTTTCTTATACACTTTTTACTTGATTTACAGCTTCAAATTTTATGCATTTGAAGCTGTAAATCAAGCAAAGAGTATAAATCATGTCATCAAATTGTTTAATGACATGATTTTATGAACCGCGACTCCGTTTTTCGAATAATTACGAGATACTTGTTGGCTGAGAGCTACTCTTATTGTATTAAAATCTGCTCATTCTAAATTATAATAATTAAATTGTTAATGTATAAATGACGTTTCTACAAAAGATTTAAGTAAAGTTTTATTTTTATTTAATCAAAAATAGTTTCTTTTTACGATTATAATAATATTAAAAAACCACTTCGAGCAGTGTAACGTTAAATGAAACTATCCAGTTAATAGTAAACAAAGTGAAATTTGATATGAAGAACATTTTGATTTATCTCAGATAAAATTGATTCTAGTTCTCGTGTGGCAAAATATATATATATATATATTGACAGTATATATATATATAATAGCAACACCAGCCTGAAAAATTGACAGAATATATATATATATATTCTGTCAATTTTTCAGGCTGGTGTTGCTATTAATTTGCTTCCAGCAGAATTGTTACAATTTATCACGTGCAAAATTGTTCTGGAAACTCTACTCGCAATTTGCCTGTCAATCTTAAGTTTGCCAAACTATAGCCAATTTGTCCGCTGCAAAATCGCTGTCAATTACTGACTCCACAAAATTACTGTCTGTTCACGGTCATGCAAAACTAATTGACAGTTTATCTAGCGCAAAATTTCTTTTCTTTTTTTTCAATGTGTTCAATGCTAAAGTACCATTATCTACGAGTATACACAAGTTACCTTATACACAAAAAATAATTATATTTATCATTAAAAGTATAAAACGAAATTAAATTTAAACAAATAACTGTTTAAACTTTGTATAATTATCGAGTTATTTGGTAGAAATATGAAAATACCTGGTTTATGTGGAGGTGTGTTATAGTATATTCTGCCAGCATTCTGGTAATGAACTGATAACATTTCTTATGGATGAAGAGAACAGAGAGAGGGAGAGAGCATTATGGATGAGATCGAGGCTAAAATTCCTCCAATAGCGCAAAGAAGCGGAATTACAATTCTTTAATAAAGAGCTACAACGTTATATCGAAGATTTAATTCATATAGAGAATATTTATTTTATTCTAAATACATTTTTGTTTCAATATCACGATATAGATTCATTTTATATAATTTACGCTTTGCATTTATTATTATAATTCTATATTTTAATGTAGCTTTAACATTGCGGAACAAATAATAATAATAATTGGGACAATGAGAATCTCCCAGCAGATCGCGATCCTCGGATGTCACTGACGTACTTAATAACATTTTGTAAAATTAAAAAGTTAAATGTATAAATTTTTAAATTTAATTAAAAAAATAGATTAATATTTAAGCTTATTAAATTATATTTAAAATAATTTTATACAAATAAAAATAAAAAACTCGTCTATAAATTTTTAAAAATTTATATTAAAAGGAGAATAGTTTTATTTTATTACATCAGATGGCATAGCAATCGAAGGGCGGTTGTTAACTTTCAACAATGCTTACGGATTTTATATTAAAAAATAACATTGTGTGTGTATATATATATATATTTACGTCATTGAAGATGATAATTAAAATTACATAATTAAGTTTTTGATCTATTTTTCAATAAATAATTAATTAATTAATTTTATACAGTCGAATCTGCGATAACGGCCAACTGTAAACGGCGGACGGATTGGTTAGGCGTCAGACTACAGCTCAGAGTAACAGTCAGGAATTTTATTTGAGGTTCTGTCCCGGATATGTAACACCACGTCCATCTGGACACCCATTTGTGAAACTGGTCGAAATCACGATGGACTTAAAAAGGCCCTTTTAAGGCCTACAGAGCGGAACGAGTAAGAAAAACTCTTTAAAAGCGATCAATTTTTGGAACTTTTTAAAATGCGTATAAAATAACCTAGAAACAACGGACAGATTTTATGTTTCCGTCAGTGGCCATTCTTCAGAGGTTTGATTGTGTTATAAATTAGTGCTGTCTCTTTTTCGTTTGTTTTTTTATCAACATATTAAAAAATAATAATTATATTAAATACCGATAATTTTATATGTATTTTATATTTTTCTGTGTTAAAGCAGTGCTATAAAACTTCTTAAAACAGATCTACATAACAAAGGATTTTTAATGGTTTACGATACAATTTATATAAAATATAAATGAGAATAAAAATATATTTTAATGTATTGTACAGTACATTAAATGTTATTTAAATATTATCTTTAAAATAAATAAATAAAATGTAAAAAATATAATAGATGCTTTTAAATTAAATTTTAATATTTTATCCAATTATTTTAAAAAGCAAAGAATAAAGTATTTGAGACACTCTTAAACAATTATTTAATATTTTATACATTAATAATGTTTATTTCATCAAACAGTCTCTAGTCTTAAATAAAAATAAATAAATAAGTATAAATTTTGAATAAGTATTTAAGAAAAAAATAACAAATATAATTAAATGAATACAAAAGGACAGTTAACAAGCGCCAATTACAGTAATATGCATTTCTTTAAATATACGCTTATTGACAATAAAGTTGGATTGAAATTGAATTGCATACCAGACATTGATACCAAAATACCTTAAAATTGCTGCCCAGAATCCTATAGAAAGGATCGCAAGATCATGTTCACAATTTTCAGTGTACCTATTTTGAAGGTATTGTCTACTCTTGAGTGGACACGGTTAGCATTACTAGCTAATGTTTTATTCTGGGGAGCCACAGTAGGTCACTCCTATTAGTAATATGAGGAACAGCGACGGAACAATACGTTCGGCAAATCATGCGATTTTATATGTTGCCTTTCAAGGCAAAGTTGGCTGCAAACGGCCATTTTCCAGTACGATAATACTCGGCTACACACAGGTAGGATTTCTCAGGGATGTCTTCATGTTATCATACTTCGTTGGTNAGAGTTTTTTACGGTAAGCCTTAATCCTGTCCATCTCCCCCAGTGGGGGGAATGTATATTATATAAAAACACTTGCGTATTCGAATGCAGCGTTGTGTCAAAATTTCAAAGGAATCGGTAGGAACAAACGAACATTACATTTTTATTTATATAGATAGATAGAAGATGATCTGCTTTAGTTCATCCTCACAGAAAAGCATAATGCCTAACAGAAAAGCAAACTTAGGGCGTCGTACTCGTAGCGCCATTTATTGGACATAAAAGCCTTAACCTAGATGATATCTTTTAATTTATATGAATGTTTAACGGAATAATATACAGCCTATGTCCACCCTGGAGTTCCATTCTAAATATTGGTGAAAGAATTTTTGAAATCAGATGAGTAGTTTCAGAGAGTATCCGCTACATCCAAACTTACAAACATTACCTCTTTATAATATTAGTATAGATTACGAAAATTTACATATATAATGTGGATATATAATCAAATTTATCTTCATCAAAAGAAGGGAAAGTAATGAAATTGTTTCAAATCTGAGTTTTTTGCAAATCTTTACGTTTTGAAACCTCCTGAATTCGAAAAAGTCAAAAAAATGACAAAAAAGTTCCGTGTATATGTATGTATGTATATGTATGTCTATTTCGCTTAATATCTCAAGATAGGGTTTTTTTTTTTAAATTCTTTCCGCCCTGTGGGCACTAAGAGGGCCTCTTTTTGCAAGCCCGTTATGGGTTTGGCCAGGCCCACAATGGGGCTGCCGGGTGGTGAGGGACGGGGACCGACATATCCGAACGGACCATCCCCCGAAAAATTCCTGGGGATTCCTTGGCCCGTTCGGATTCGAACCCAGGTCCCCCAGAACGGTAGGCTGCCACCTTGACCGTTTGGCCATCTGGCCTCTCAAGATGGGGTAAACATTAAGAGAAGGGTAGGAGTTAATGAAGATTTTATTCGTTACTAACATTTGTAGCTTTTCATAAAACCCATCCCTACCCTCAAAATTAAGCTTTTTGCCATTTTATAGTAATTAAAATATAGAAAATTTTTATTTAAAAATTTGATAACAGATGGCGCCACAAACAATTTTATTTATTTTGCTTAATATTATACAAGTTATTTTTAAAATAAAATCTCATAACTGCCGGGAAAGTTATGCAACTCGTTGCTGGATTTTTATTTTTATATCCAACGAATTATTAGAAGCGCACCAGTGGCATAGTAGATAAAACACTGGTTGGTCACAGGTTTGGACCTCGCCAACGGGCTGGTCTCGTGGAGTTTTTCGGATTTTCTTCACCTGTCAAACACTAGAATACGGCCCAATTTCCCATAAAAGTCCTCCCAGATGGCATCTCTTTTGGCAGTTCGCCCACGTGTCGAGTTGTATCCCACGAAACCAAACTAATTATTAGAGCCATGGTTATGAAATCGTACTTTATATAAATGATAAAATACTGTGTTTAATAAATATGTAAAAGATGAACCTGAAATGAATGGCGAACTTTTAAGTATTTTCCAGAAGCATCCACAACGCAACACATAGGCGATCTGCCGAGAGATTGCAATCCCAGAGAAATTTCTATGGAAAACTGGCACCTATTTAGGTGTTAGTACGCGAAGAAAACCTGGAAAACTGCATGTGGCTATCTCGTTATAAGATGAGAACCCGCGACCAGTGTTTAGTGTTTCTATTTATTTGACCATTGATAGGCGTTGAAATTGTTTTGTTTAATAATTAAATCATTATTTTACCTATTTTAAAAAATTTATAATAAAATTTTGTAATAAATTTTTGAAAATAAAAGACGCTACAATTTCTTAAATCGTATTTTATTAATTATTCACAAGATTAGACCAGACATTACCTCCGATAAAGCAGAGAACGTATTGTATTATTTATGATGGAAAGATGCGAAAGAATGTCTTCACAGCTATTATTTATGTCAAATTAATTACGAGATCAATATTATAATATGGATCATTTTCATGGTAAATAGCCTTCTTTGAACTTCTAAAGGTAGAAGAGTTCATCCAATGTTATTCAAATTGGAACTCTCATTAGTAGAAGTGCGATCTGTTTACACGTCAGCTCATTAAATGAATTAATTGGATAAAATAACACCTTAAATTTTCTACAAATTCGATTATTACGAGCTTAATATTAAATTGTTTCAATTTAAAATTGCTATAAAGAATTTATATTATTATAGAAATTTTTGTATGTAGTCCTGATGGCCAGAAGCTATGGAATCTTCTATTGCTGTGAAGGACCTAGAGATAAAAAATCATGATATAAGAAATTTTTCTATCAATAGTGCAGATCGGCTCTTTATTCTCCTTCTTCACTGTTGGTTGGTCAAACTCGTTGAGAACTGACCTTTTGAATGTTCTCAAAATTGAATTTGGTCAATGATTTCTATTGCAGACATTGTGTAGTAAATATTCCAAATAATAATTCAGTTGATTTTTGTAAGCTTAAGTTAACTCTAAGCATACTCGAACATTTAATAACGCCATCTCTAAACGGCGGCCATTATTTTTCAGGAATGTTTATTTTTGAAATGCGTAAAATATAACTTCCAAACGATTGTCACCTTCTTTTTTATGTTCTCACCAGTGGCCGTTGTTCAGAGGGCCTGAATTTATATTAAAACTTGGATTTGTACGTTCTAACTCAGATTTGTTTGGATGGGATACGGCAACGTGATACGCGAGAAATCTTATCAAGTTGGGATGCCTCCCGGGAGGATTTTCTACAGGAACCTGACTCCTATTTAGTTTTTAAACTACATGTGGCTATCCTATTGGCGAGGCACGAAACCGCGACTCGGACCTCCCTAATCAGTTCTAGTTACGGTACTACTTTAAAGGAAAAAAATATCTGCTTTGGTGAATATATGGGATTTGTATAATTTATTTATATATCTAAAGGTTATTTCGGAGGGTAAAGCTTGATATGTTAGAATAGCCATTTTATATTTTCCGGTCCACAATACTGCAACCAAAGAAGATACGAATAAAGTTATTTGTCATATCGAAGTTATGAAATTTTAAATTTTAAAGTATACTTATAGAGATGAAAACTATTGTGAATTTAGATAAGTCTTCTTGCTTATATTTTGCTAAGCTGGTAGCTTTGCATAAAAGTTTACATTCGGACTGAGAAGAAATAAAGTGACCAGAAAAAGAAACTAACCTAATCTCACTTTGACACGAGTATACGAAATAAAATTCTATTTCTTTTCACCGAAACATTCAAAAATATTTTATAAAATGCTAAAAAAAGAGCATTATAAAGAAAATTTATCTGAAAATTTACTTTAAAAAATTAACTCTAAAAGTATTTTTAAAAATACAAACTAAATTTAATAATTTGCAAACTCAATATATAATATATTGAGAATATAAGAAATATATAATATATATATATTATATATTTCTTGAATTTATTAAATATACATCGTCGAAGGATAAAAAATTAAATTATTATTTGTAGATCAGCAATTTACAGGTTTTGTTTGATTTCATAGGTTAAGGCAAAGCGATACATGAACGATCTTTCGAGGGGTTGTCTACCTAGAAGACTTTCTATCAAAAACTATTTAAGGGGTTCCTATTTAAGTGCTAGACACGTGAAGAAAACAGAAAATTGCATGAAAACTCCACGCGACCAGCCTGTTGGTGTGGCTCGAACCCACGTTCGATGTTGAGTGATTTTACCCACTCGATCACTATTGCATATTAGCCATTTATACAAATTCAACATTTGAATAAGTAAACACATTCAAAAGTTCGATGATCCCAGTCTTCGTTATAATTATTCAAATATTTTTGAAAAAGTTTTAAAAGAAATAAAACGAATAAAAATATTTCCACAGAGGGCCTCTTTTTGCAAGCCCGTTATGGGTTTGGCCAGGCCCACAATGGGGCTGCCGGGTGGTGAGGGACGGGGACCGACATATCCGAACGGACCATCCCCCGAAAAATTCCTGGGGATTCCNTTTTTTTTTTTTTTTTTTTTTTTTTTTTTTTTTTTTTTTTTTTTTTTTTTTTTTTTTTTTTTTTTTTATAAATACATAAAAACTTTTATACTAACGAAATGTAAATTAATTTA